CCCCAAAACCCCAAAACCCCAAAACCCCAAAACCCCATTTTGATTCATAATTCCAGACTTTAAATAATAATTTAAAATAACCCGTAGAAGCCACCATGAGCAGTCACCCCAAGTCTAAAATCCAGGTGAGTGCCACAAGCTGGCATTTTAGAAGGAACTAAAGGCATTTTGAAGATTTATAAAGGAAGCAAGAGAAATTTGTAGCTTAGGGAAAAACCATACTAAGGTGTACTAAGTTTATGTGGGGTTTGGAGAGTTTGATGTTAAGGAATATTTAGTGGGTTAAAAAAGTGAGGGATTTTGTGGGAGAATTTAGGGTGAAATGGAAATTATGAAAGCTTTTTATGACAATTATTGTAGTGGTCTAATAAAAATTTAGAGGACAATAAACCAAAAAGTAAAGAATCTGAATTATGACAAAGAGCTTAGATTCTCGAATAGAGTGAGGATACATCAACCGGAAATGAAAGTTCAGCAACAAGTCAGGGTATTCTCTCCAAATGCTACCCTAAGGAATACTTATAATGGTAAATATCAATAAATTTGATTAAAAAAAATTTGCTTAAATTTCACCTACTAATGTTTAGATGTGGACACCCAAAACTTTGAGCACTTATAACCAAAAGACCTAAATCAAAGAATAAAGGCAAAAAGGTCATCCTTAATACTAACGGCTCCTCTGTTTCTGCGAGATATAGAAGCAGAAGAATCAGGTATGATTAAAATTTTGCACTTTAGTAACAATTTATAGGGCTAAATCTGTTGTTAAAGAGATACCCAATATCTCTGGAAACTTAATAAAGAATAAAATCAGGAGGTTTACAGAATACTCAATCAAACCAAATCTTGCCAAGACTTGTAAGAGGAAATTCAGTCAAGAAACTACAGCTGCTGTAAGAAAAGAGTAGGTTTATATTTCTCACTTGGTAGAACAAAAGCATTAAGAAATCAGAAAAGAAGGATGAAACTTATTAACACTACTCTTACTAAAAGATTCAAGACTCCTTCCAACATTGATAGAAGAACTCCCATGTTGAAAGAGTTGTTCCAAAGAGGAGGCTCAAGGATGAGGAGGAAGTCAGAGACAAGGTTAAATACTAGGAGGAAGCCTATACCTAATTCAACCATGACTATAAATGCTTCTAATCTTAACCAAAAACAAAGAAATGGACAAGGAAATAATATGACAGTGGTCATAATGGCTTTGGAGAACACTCAACAATTATTAGACGTTCTTGGAAATATAACTCCTGCAATGAGAGATATGCCTAACAGCACTACTTCTAGAGAGAACCAGAGTGCAAGGATCGGGAAGAAGTGAATCAAGAATATGAAATCTAAAGTTTCTAATAATAAAAGAGATCTCCAGGATAAATACCATGATAGCCAAAAACTAGCTCAAAAAGTTAAAATCTCAAACTACTCGCTAATGAAGAACAATGTTATCCATGATTTAAAGATTCAGAGTAAGTGAAAAGGAGGAAATAAAACTACAACCACTCCGAAAAGAGGGAGTTGAGAAAGAAACCAAGTTGGTTCAGCTACTAATAAAAATGAAAACCTCCCAGAGAAGAATCAAGCAAATACAAGCTTAGAAAGAGAGGATCTTGACCCAAGTACCATTTCAATTTTAATGTTTAGGCGCCATCCAGAAGAAAACTGAGGAAAGTGGAAAGAGAGTAAGCGTGTATTTAATTGTAGACATGCTCTATTACTCCAAATGAGTCGGAAGATAAGACCAAATTGAAACCTCTCAAGATAGACAATCATATCAAATTGAAAAATTCAAGGTAAACTATTTCATTAATACCGTAGTCACCAAAATTTTGGCAATCCAAGAAGGATCAAAATCAGTAAAATTTCAACTGCTCGTAAAAAGGAGTTGAAATCTAGAAAAGAAGGAAGTAATCCTTCAAAGAAGGAATGAGGGAGCAATATGGATGTATTATCTCCTCATCACACAAAAACCAAACCTAAGAAGGACATTAACATGTCTGAGTCAATTCCTTTGTCTAGTAACAAATGAAGTTATGAGACTGAACAAGCCAAACTAACTGAGAAGAGGTTTTATATCCGCCCACAATCTTCTGAGTTAAACCAGACTACAATCAAGGCTAACTCTAGCTTGAATGTGAGCTTTGCCAGAATTAAGTTCAAGAAAGAAGTAAGCCCAATTCTGTAAAAGTTTAGAAAACTTCTGGTAGAGAATCTGATAAGACATCTAAAATATTTCAACAAGATCTGAACCAAAGCTGCCCAGGCTATAGCAGTTCCGATAGAAGAAATAAAATTGAGAGTAAATTACAGAAATTTTTGATCAGAAGGAAGAAACTGGATCGTATTGGGATTGAATCAGATCATGTTCAACAGAAAAATCCATGAACTCCAACACAAAAAGATTCAGGTTCTGCCCTTCAGAAGTAAGCAAAATTATAATTTTACTGTAGGAGGAGAAAGTTGAGAAGACTTAATGAAGACCTCCAAGATTCAAAACTCATCATTGAAGTTGAAGAGTCTGTAGAAAAGTCTCATGATACTAGAGATAGTCGTCAAAGAGTTCTTCAAAGAGGTCATCATAAAGCCAGGAATAATAAAATAGTGACTATTGAAGATGAATTGAAAGCGACTCAAGATAATTGCACTGACCAGGAATTTGACCTTATTGAAAAAGAAGAACGTAAGGAAATAGCATCCTCAGATGCACTTCAAATCACTGAAAATGAGGATACAGATAGGCTATTTGTAACTTCAAAGGTTGGACTATCTATGGATAAACACCAAAAGTTGGAGAAAAGGAAGGAAATTATATTTCAAAGTATTAATGAATCAGCCAACAGTATTCTTCCTATCTTAGATGACCAAGCTAGAAATGCTCCTATTGAATTTCATTGCAGGTTTACCTCTGAAAATCCAATCTTAAACAATGAAGATGGAGATGAATCCAAACAAGCAACTCGAAATATGCAAAGAAAATACAAAAACTCTGACATCAAGCAGCTAATTCCTTACCAAGATAGTGTTCAAGACTTAGTAGAGATTAAAGGTGTGCTTTGGTTTAATAATATCTAGATTATAACCATGACTTATCTGAGTCAATTCCAAACTTAATTTATGATTTATCTCCACAAACCATAAAAGAAGAGCCTGATCCAGTAATCTCCAAACATCTAGCAGAGCTTGAAACAGAGGCTATAAAACAAAGGAAGTTTTTCAACGCAAAAGATCTTGGAGCTGGCTTCTAGTGCCTTCTATTTTACTAACTTAACATATTTATACTGGAAATAATTTAAAAGGGGTTTTGGGGTTTTGGGGTTTTGGGGTTTTGGGGTTTTGGGG